AGTTACAATACATAATTGATATCATATTACATTATGTGCTATAGATTATGATATATAAATATATATCTTTTACATAAATATATATATATATATAATGTATATATATGCACAAAAAATCATTGTTATATTTGGATGAAGCTAACAGTCCAAATATCCAACAATGGGGGATCATTAAGTAAATAATGAAACACTGAGGTGCTGTTATCAAAATAGCTCCAAAATATATAAGTAAAAAAGGAAGATTTTAGAGGTGTGCATATAATATGCTATCTTTTGTTGGGGGCAAATAATAATAAAGAGTCCAATTTTCCTATATTTGCATAAAGATACTTAGATTCTCTGTAGCCACACACATAATGCTGATGAACAAACAAAACACAACTAGTTGCCTGCCGGGGAGCAGAGGTGGGGGAACCGGGTGAAAGTGTGGATGGGAACTTTTCACTCAACACTTTTTTCATGTTTTTGAACTAAATGAACATATTATCTATTTAACAATTAATAATATTATTAAACCAGAAAGAGTGAAATCTTGCTATCTTTTACAACGTGGATGGACCCTGAGGACATTATGCTAAGTGAAATAGGTCAGACAGAGTAAGACAATACTGGATGATCTCACTCATGTGTGAAATTTAAAAACAGATACAAACAAACAAAACCCCCCAAAGCCCCAAATGAAGCTAAGAGATGTAGATTGGTGGTTGGGCACTGGAGCCCTGAGGTGGTGATGAAAAGGGTAAAGGGGGTCAAAGGTACAAACTCCCAGTTATAATGTGTGTAAGTACAGTGACTATGACCCATGATACTACATTACATATCTGAAAGTTCCTAGAAGAGTAATGGCCAGGTGGATGAAGAACTGAGAAGCAGGAAGAGGGAGAAGAGATGAATCCAAGAACCCACTCCAAGCAAAGAGTGCTGGGAGGCAGGGCGTTCTTCTGGAACATGCCCCGTTCTGTAGGGTGGGCGGATGAGCTCATTTGGGGCAATGTCAGGACTTGAGGATGGGAGTTAGGCAGGAAAGCAGTTTGATGAGAATCTCATATGCCAAGGTAAGAATTTGGATTTCAACTTGAAAGTGATGGGAATCACAGAAGGGCAATGAGAGGAAAGTGGGCAATGAGATGTGTGCTTTGTGATCATCTTCCCATGGAGCAAGTGCCTATGTCATGGTGGACAGGGTAGAGCTGGGGTGTGGAAGACGGTTTAGGAGGCTGTTGGCCATCCTTGGGGTAAGAGATGAGCAGATAAGGATGAGAGGAAGTCCTGATATCACCCTGTGGCCTACTATTGGCTGCTGTCTCTGATTTCTTATCTCCTCCTCAGGTTAAATTTTGTTCATCTCCTCAGAAAGTCCACAGCCTTTCTTTTGGATTCCATCCTGATCTTCAATCAGGTGTTGATGACAATATTCAGGTCAACAAAACCACCTGCTGACAACGAAGGCAACAGGAACCTTCTCTGCTTTCCATTCTCCCTCTCAACCTGAGAGCCTGTGAAGGAAGCTCAAGACATCCGGGCTGGGCAGGGACAGGTGTTCTGGTGGGGGCCACAGCCCTGCGCTGGGGCCCATTGAGTGGAATCCAGAGGTATCACCTTTTTTCTGAGTTTGATTTCCCCCCTCCCCATTTCCATCAAGCTTGTACACAGTTTTTACAGAAGGCTTATGTCAGGAGTTACGTTTCTTTCGGTTCAAACTCTTCTCCAAGCCGGGACAATTGTGCAGACAGAATTCACCAGCACGGCTGCATCCATGGTAAGTCACTCAGACATTTCTCTTTCATTTGCTAGACAGCTGCTGCCCTGAACCCCGAGGGGCCCCCTCCGCTATCCTGGCCACCTCCTTCGCTCCATTCCTTATGAACTTCTGGATATTACTGGGCATCCAGCAATGAAAGGCACCTGGGACCTGCCCATCTCAAAGCCCTTTGTTTGCTAAGTTGTAGCCCATGCAGCACAGGCTGTTAACTATTGCATTCACCACCCATGTTTTTCAGTAGTAAGGCTGACATCTCATCCCATATAAGGCAACTCATACACAAAGTGTTCCCTTATAAGATCTAAAAAACACAATTCTAATAATTGTGAATATATTCATATGAAGTGGAAAATAAAAGAAACCCATATAAAATCAAAGACAACAATATATCATCTGAAAGTTGTTCAACATTCAGGATATATTTCATTCTAATATAAAAATGTCTTGGACATCTTGTCTCATAGGTATATTACATGAGAAAAGCCAGACATTAGCAACTAATCTTTTTTTTTTGCCAGACAGCTGAACAATATAGTCCTGATTATGTAAGCTTTGAGTGGACAGCTTTGAGTGTGGGCACTTTTAGGTGGTAACATGCACTTCATTTAGTATTGCTCTAGTATAGGTTTTTATGTGACAGTTCAGCTCCTTATCAAATGAATACTTCCACCTTGCTATTCGAGTGAATTGGAATGACTATGGGTAAATGACTTTTTGATTCCATAGCGGTCTGCTGCATTATAAAGATTTGGACGTCATGCCATCATTCCTTGAAGTGGTTTAGCAATTCAATATGAATAATTTGTTAAAAAGAGGAGAATCTGTCCACATATGAAAGACTCTAGAAAAAATGTTTCCATAAGATCCTTTAGAGTCTAGCATATGATACTAGAGTACTTTTTTTTTTACCATGAAATAGACTGAAAATTTAAGGAAAAAAGTTGCCCCCACATTCAAAAAATACTATATATTATATACACACACATACAAGGTGGGCAAAAGTAGTGTGAGTGACAGTTGTGAGTGACAGTTGTGAGTGACATTCCTTTGAGTTAATAAAGCCATTGCAATCATCATAACCTGCATGTCTTTTTCTGTATGAACAACTGTAAACCTACTTTTGCCCCATCTGTCTATCTATCTAGGATTAAAGAAAGACCAGAGAATAGGAAAAAATGATAAACATATATTGACAAATTACAGTACATTATATTTTAAAAATGACTATAGAAAGCAAGAATAAACAGATTCCCTGTTACAGCTCTGAATGAAACTTCCTTAGCATTGAGGTACAACCTGCTTCTTTGCATTCAGAGTCAAATTCGGCTTTTATTGAACAGAAACACTAACAGATATTTAATTTAAAAATTTGAATTGTTAGTCTTTCTAAAAAATTCTAATTAAAATGTGCTCTAAAAAATACTATCTTAAAACTTGACACACACAGGTTAAAGACCAACAGTTAACAGAGTAAATCAGGTGAGACCACTACACAAGTGACCCCAAATAAGCCATGCTTCCCCATATCCTCACCTTTCCATAACCCCCTTCCAAAACGACTTCAGGCTTGGTCATATCAGTCATACGAGGGCTCATAGCTAAGTAGACCATAATAAGCATTACTCAAACAGAGGCATATCTCAGAGATACTGGGGGTTTGGTCCAGACCACTTCAATAAAGCAAGTCACAGAATGTTTGGTTTCCTACTACTTATAAAATGTATCTTTATACTATACTGTCATCTCTTAGGTATGCAATAGAATTCTGTCTAAAGAGATATTGTACATACCTTAACTAAAAAGATTTTACTGTTAAAAAATTCTAACCAACATCTGAGCCTATTGGAAAAAGGGTGCCAGTAGACCTGCTCAGAGGAAGGTTGTCACCACTTTCCATTAGTAAAACATGGTATCTGCAAAGTGCAATAAGGTGGAATGCAATAAAATGAGGCATGCCCAGAGAGGCTTGAAAAATGTCTGCATGCTGGGCTCCTCTCAGAACTCAAGTACCCTGCTGTAAGAAAGCTTGTCAAGTTTTCTGCAAAAAGAGAAGCCGTGTGGAGGAGAATTTTTCCAACAGCCAGCATCCAACATTCAAGTAAGGTCTTCTTGGATGTTCTATCCTCAGAAGAGCTCCTGGTTGAAAGGTTCACATGAATGACCCCAGCCAACATCAGGTGGAACAGAACTACTCAGCTGAGCCTTGCCCAAATTCCTGACCCATGGAACTGGTATTATTTTAAGCAATTACATTTTGCAGTGTTTCATTACACAGCACTAGATAACAAACACAGTAAATGATATCAAGGATTTCTCAAAGTTCTTTCTAGAAGTAGAAGTAATTCCAAGGTACATTCTTCACTGACTTATACCTCCTATACTTCTGTCATCTATTAATTTATTATTGAGTCTCTATCTTTCATTCTGACTTTAACCAGATGGACAGGACTGAGGTGGTTAGTTTATGTGAAAAGCATGGTTGAGAATGGCTTTATTGTGTACTGACTCAAACAAATGCCAAGGACTTGCTGGATCTCAAAGAAATAGCATTCCTGATGATGGCATATATCTTAATTCTACTCCACACTGTGAACAAACTGTGGGTGGGACAGCATGATGGAAAGAAATTAACTCCAGGAACTTCAAGCACAGAAACCTTCTGTGATCCAATCAAGCCATTTTCTCTCTGTATTGTGCTATATGGAATTGTATCCTAACCCCAAAAGTTAGATAGAGTACTAGAATGTGTAAGAGTCTATGGAGGAATTTATTTTCTTAAGAAATGATTTTTTCAAAATATGAAGTTTATTAGACTGAACAAACCATTGGGTGTGTTTCCATCATCTTTCTCTGGAACTAATGTGCATTAGTGACAGAATGCATGAGAGGAGAAGCTGTAGTAGGAGCAGAAGTAGAAGAGCCCAAGGCAGTGGGTGGCTAACACACTCTCCTGGGAAACCTGGCACTATTTCATTGGGAGATTTTATCTCAAGTAAGAAACTACAGCAACTACCTGGCTCTAAAGACAAAGTGTCTGGATACCAAGCAGAAAAGATGTCACCTGCCATTAAGTGTAACTAATTTCAGCATAATTGCTGCTATTTCCATTGCGTAAAGGATGTTCTTTGTGTGCTTGTTGATAGGATCATCTCCTAGGGGGATGTGGACAGAAGGTTTAGATATAAAATGCTAATAGAGGAGAGTCCTGATCAGACAATGACACAAATGTGACACTCACAGAGAGTAGTATCTGGATGGCACTGTGGATGACCTCCAGGTACTGGAAGTCGACGATGCAGCCTGTGACGGAGACATATGTGTAATCGTCCATTGCGCCATGGGCGGACGGGGGCAGCACTCTCCGGACGCAGCCAGGCCCGTGTTCTCGCCACCACGACCGGTGCACGGAGATGTTGAATGTCATTAGATCTGTGTCCTAGGTGGGCAAGAGACAAAAGATCCAAAGGAAATAGTCACATGACATTGAATCTTTGATTTTTACATTCGGAGAATTCAGGATGGATGAAATTGTTGAAAGGATGACTTACATTTCAAGTGAAAAGTAACAAAGAAAACACAAGAAATAGTATATGTATCATATGCCTGAAGTGTGTGTAATATTTGTTCGGTGCAGAGATACAATGTTTGGCACAAGAACATTTTCAGGTTAGTACACATCAAAAATCCAGAGATGACACCCCTCCACATATGTCCACATTAAAAATTGTTTAGTTCATTTTGAGACTCTTTGTCTGCATTTTCTTGTTTCATCATCAATATTACCACCATGTGCCAACATTTATTGAGTGTTTGATTGTATGTAGATATTTTTCATATATCCTTTAATTTTTATGTATATACTATTAACAACCCAATTTACAGTATGCTGAATAATAGTCCTCCCAATACAAATGTAAGTCCTACTCCTTGGAACCTGTGATTTTACCTCCCATGGCAGTCCTTTGCAAATGTCCTTGAGTTTTTAAAAACACTTTTATTGTATTTTTGCCATTACCATCTAACCCCCTTATACCCATCTCCCCACTGTAATCACCACACTGTTGTCCTCATCCATGAGTCCTTTGCCATTGACTTTTAAAGATCATGACATGGGGGGATTATCTTGGATTACCTGAGTAGGGCCTAAATGCAATCGCATATATCCTAACAAGAGGGAGGCAGGGGGAGTTTAGATACAAGAAAGAAGAGGAGGAGGCAATGTTACCATGGAAGCAGAGATTGAGTGCAACAGCCACAGCCCAGGAATACTGGCAGTCACTAGAAGCTGGGGAGATGAGAAAGGATTCTCCCCTAAAGCTCCAGAGGGAGCATGGCCCTGCCAACACCTGGATTTCTGCCCAGTGAAACTGACTTCAGACTTCTGGCCTACTGACCTGTGAGAGGATGAATTTCTGTTGAAACACCAGGTTTGTGGTAATTTGTTATAGGGAAGTCATAAGAAATTAATACATATGAGAAAAGTAAGTCACAGGAAGGTAAAATAAAGTGCCCAATTTAGTTAATGCATAAATTAAATAAATGGACCAATTTGGCTGAAGAATAAATTACATAAATTGCTTATTTAGTGGCTGGCCCAGAAGTTGCCCCTTTGCAGTCTGTACTTTTTGGTATAGCCTGGTCCTATTCCATTGCTTACTGTGTACTCCTCTCAAACCCTTACAATTCTTCATACTCTGAAGGGGGCTACATCTTTCCTCCTCAGTTGTTTCCAGAAAATTCCATCACAGCCACAGCGAAAGAACAAAGAAGGCAGTCCTCAGCACATACATATGAAAACAACCTTTCAGAGCTCTTAGCAGAGACAACAGCACATCCTTGAGCGATGCCCTTCAGTGCTTGTGGAGTGTCAGACATGAAAGAATGAGATCATGGTGACTTTGTCACAATAAAAATGAAAAAGAATAGACAAGGAACCAGGCTGTAGACCTCCTAAATAAACTAAGGATTACCACTTCTTGCCTGAGCAGAGCAGGAGACGAGCTGTGAAGATAGAGACAGGGCAAGGGGACATGGGGACCAGGATGCTGGACCTGCAGGGAGGCTGTACACACAGGAGCAGGGTCCGCTTACGTTGATTTCCCAGCCACCACTTGCCACAAGCTCTGTTGTCACTAGTGCCATGAGGACATGTTGGAGTTGGCACCATCCACGGTTTTTGCTCAGAGGTCCAGGACTGTCCAATAACTATGCAATGCAAATGACATGTATGCCCACCTCAGGAGGGAGAGCACTGTCCCAACCTCAGTGCATAGGGTGCTTCCAAGTGCTAGAAATTGAGTTTGGGACTCTGGAAACACAGGGGAAGCTGGTGTGAAATGCAAAGCCCTTGAACTTACATGTGGCTAGGACCGAAAACAACCAGATGAGATACCTCTGAACAAGGACAGCAGGGAAACCCTCTCCTTTCATTCTCTGCTGTATCTGTACGTGACTCGTGAGGTTAGAAGCATTGCCAGTTCACGTCAGTAGGCAGTTACTCTACAGTTTTAGATTTTCCTCAACTCAGGAATTCCAAGTGCCATTATGAGTATGCCTCGATTACATCAAGAATAAAACACTTTACCTCTTCTTTCTTTCCTTGGTTGTTGGTTTGCCACACAAATCATTCAATTACTTTCACAGTTACAGCACTTTATTGATAATAAAACATTTTATATCATTTTTGGTTGTTGGTCTGCTACATGAGTCATTTGCAGGAACCCTCTAAAGGGAAAATATTATAGAAAAATAATTGCTTTAGTTAGTGAATTAAGTTTAACACAAGGCAATTTACCTGCAGGCAAACTGTTCACTGACTGCTCCCTTTCCTGGCCATCAAGTTTAATCTGTCGCAGTTAGTCTTGATGGCTACAGAAGAACTCTTATTTCCCATATTAATAGAATTCATTAGATTCAGAATGAACTAGCACAATCTCAAAATTTACAGCAATTTCTATGGCAGAACTGTAAGTTCCTTTCAATGTGACTTGGATAAATTTAAATTATACAAATAAAACAAAAGTGAAATTTATGAACTAATAATATGTATTTGTGGCACTCATTAAATCTCTCAGTGTGGTTCTCACTTAATTTGTTGGCACTATAACATATTTATTAACTGCACTATTCTTTGCAATGATTCTATAAAAATGTGAATGAGAATAAATAGTATTCTGTTGAGGTTAAGGGCAGGCCACCCCAAAACACAACAAAGCAGCATACTGATTGTTTTGAATTAAAGTTACTTGAGTAACAGTCAGTACAAGAAGAATTTTCTGACCTTTCTGTCCCCTGAATGCAGGAAAGAAATCCCCGATGTGGAAGATGCCCTCCCTGTACCAGGAGGTACTGAGACTTCCTTATCAGCAAAGATAGGGAAGGAAGAGCCCAGAGTCTATGTACACAAACCTGGCTAGTCTTCGCTAACTTACTACCCTAAGCTCAAACCCTGCTTAGATACTCCACTAGTTAAGCACCTACGCCTAAGTTTCTTTGCCCTGTTAATTCCTCACAAATTTATTTTTTCTTTGTCTAAAAAGTATAAAAGATGCCTGCTTTGGACATTTCTTTAGGTTCCATTTCTATGAGACCTCCATATGTATGGATTAAATTGTTTTTCCCCCTCCTGTTAATGTCTTGTGTCAATTGAATTACATATGCCAAAAAAAAGAAAGGGTGTGGGGGAGAGATTTTTCCATTTGTACAATAGTATCTAGTTTACTTACAGTTCAAACTTCTTACTTAAGTTTGGTATAGAATTATATCATAAGTTTGGATTTGATTTCTATCCTCTTCAAGCATTTAAAAAAAAAAAACCCTTGACACATGATAACTGAGTTTCATATATAAGGTACATCAGAGGAAATATAACATAGAAAACTACAATACATTTTATTTTTTGCGTTGTTCAAGTACAGTTGTATCCATTTTCACCCTAACACGCCCCCTCACTCCATCCATCCCTGCTTCTCACCCTCGAACCTTCCCCCCTTTGGCTTTGCCCATGTGTCCTTTACACATGTTCCTTGATGGCCCTTCCATGTTCTTTATTTCAATGATGAACAAACTGACAGTAACCTAAGTAACCTAAGTGCCTATCAGTAAATGAGTGGATCAAAAAGTTGTAGTACATTTACACAGTTTTTTTTGTAATGGAATACTACGCAGCAGAAAGAAAGAACTCCTATGATTTGCAACAGCATGGATGGAACTGGAGAGCATTATGCTAAGTGAAATAAGCCAGGAGGTGAAAGACAAATACCACATGATCTCACCTGTAAGTGGAACCTAATCAACAAAACAAACAAGTGAGCAAATGGCAACTAGAGACATTGAAATAAAGTACAACAAATTTTTTATAAAGAAAACAAATAAACACAGATTACTTATTTTGTGGGAGCTTTTCATTACCACATCAAAGCATGTGCTTTGGAAATACATAGATTGATACTTAACTATATAGATCAACAAAGTAATCTTAAAAATAATTTTGAGTAATTCAAATGTTATTTCTCTTACACTTCTTGGAATTAGACTATTATGTGATGATTTAAGCACACTATGGTTAAGAAATTCACAACTGATGTCCCTGCTATTTTCTTTATAACTTAAATGATATAAATGATGGAATTTGTACTTATGGAGCATATGTGATTACTAAGGGGACAGTTTGTAGAATAAGGAAGAAGAAAGTGAGGAGAAAGAAGAAAAACATGAAACAAAAACAGAAGGCCTAGAAAGTGTGAGGGCAGCCTGGAGATAGAGAGAGAGCACATCAAGGCCAACAGAAGAGAGAATTTCAGGGAAGACAGTTATACCATAGACCCAAAGTCTACTAAAACGGGAACATTGAATTTGCTGATTGGTGGGGGAGAAGTGGCCTTACAAAATGCAAAGCCAGGAGAGTATTGGGAGTGAAAAGCTGGATTACAAGAGGAGGGAACTGAGAAGACAGGATTTTTTTCCCCACAAAATTCTGGAGTCAAGGTAGTGAGAACATAGGAAGGTGGCTTCCAGGGTGGTTGAGGAGAACAGGAGTCAATATGTGGAGAACCAGGTGTTAGCTATGTCTGCTCACGCTCACCAAGCTCTGGCTTCACAGAAAATTATTCCAGAACATCAGCTTTGCCCCTAATACCTATTCTGTAAATGAAATTAAAATTATTTGCATAAAATTATTGCATAAAATACATAAAATTATTTCATCTCATTAGTGTAAATTACAAACTTGTTCCTATTTTATTTAAATGCTTGAATTTTAAAACAAGAATTTCCAGAACTTTTTGAAAATGCTGTTCATTAGCTCTGGCTGGTGTGGCTCAACGGATTGAGTGTCAGCCTGTGAATGAAAGGTTGATGGTTGGATTCCCAGGCAGGGAACATGCCTGGGTTGCAGCCTGGGTCTTCAGTTGGGGGCATGCAACAGGCAATCAATCA